GTTTAGGGTTTAGGGTGTAAGGTGTGCGGCCACGTAGAGGGTTACATGAGGTTTTTGGGAGAAACGATACGTCGCGCAGAATAGAGGCTTGAAGAGTCAAGCCCGAAGCGCTTCTTGTAATTCTTCACAAACCCGAGGGGCCACAGGATCGCGCCCCAAAAATCCGCAGCGTTTCACCACGAGACCCTAAGCACTAACCCTAAAGCCCTAAACTCTAAACCGCTCTACCTACAGTAACCTAAACTCTATAATTTTCGTGGCCTTGGGTCATATTTCGTGGCTTTGGTCGTCAAGCAGTGGAATGATAGGGCCTTGGGGTTAGCCCTCATGTTTACGGTTTAGGGATCTGGGTTGGGACTTAGAGTCAAGGGTTTAGGGTTTAGGGTTTAGGTTTGAGGGGCTAGGGGTTTAGGGGCTTAGGGTTAGGGCTCTGGCCATAGGGGTTACGGTTTAGGGTTTTGGGTTGGGTTTCAGGATCTGCGGTTTAGGGCTCTGGCCTCGGATTTACCGTTTCGGGCTCTGGTCCGAGGATTCACCGTTTAGGGCTTTGGGTTGGGCCCTAGGATTTACATGTAGTCTATCTCTTTTATTTTAGTGTATATGTAGCATACGAAGTGTGGTCTTTAGTTTTTGAGATTATATGAAGAATGCTGATGGTACCATGTAGACGACGCAACGCGACCTAAGCAAACATAACAATTTCTATTGTTGGGAGATTCTTTGGGTGGGTGGATATTTTTCTTAAGACTTCATAGCCCAGCTATTTGGAGCTGCTGAACCTTAAACCCTAAACCTTAAACCCTCAACCCTAAACCCCCAACCCAGGCCTTTGCGGCCTCCTTAGAGCTCGGGGATGCCTCGAGTGGCGACCGTCCCGTGCAGAGCTCACTTCGAAGGTTTGGGTGGTTTAGGGCTTAGGGTTTAGGGTTTAGGGTATAGGGCTTAGGGTTTAGGGTTTAGGGTTCTGTCCCATCGGCTAGGGGATGCTGTAGGGTTTATGTCCAGTACTAGCACGGCTGGTACTGGTTCTAAGATCAGTACAAGGCTAGCAAGAGTACTCTACTCGTTCTAGTACTAGTACAGTACTGCTACGACTACCAGCACTGCGATCTCCCCTACCACTACCACGACCACTCCCTCTGCCAATGGCACTCCCACTGCCACGGCACCACCACCACTACCACCACTACTACCGTCAGCCACCTCTAGCACTACCAGGAGCAGTTCGGGACCCGTACCACTGCTACCACCAGTACCAGTACGAGTACCCCTACCAGTACCAGCGCCACTACGGCCGCTACCGCTGCAACTACCACTGGCACTACAGTGGTAGTGAGGTAGTGAGGTAGTGAGGTAGTGAAGTGGTGAGGTATTGAGGTAGTGAGGTAGTGAGGTAGTGGTAGTGGCAGTGGTAGGTGGTCGCAGTCGTAGTCGTCGTACTAGCACGAGTACTAGTACTAGTACATGTACTGGTACTAGTACTGTACTACGTAGTACTAGCAGCAGTAGCAGTAGCAGTAGCAGTAGCAGTAGCAGTAGCAGTAGCAGCACTAGCAGCAGTAGTAGCAGTAGTAGCAGTAGCAGTAGCAGTAGCAGTAGCGGGAGCGGGAGCAGGAGCAGGAGCAGGAGCAGGAGCAGGAGCAGGAGCATTCATTCATTCCTCACGCAGCGAAAGGTCCTCGATCGCCTAGCGAGCTGACGAGATACGAGGTATTCTCGTTTCCCGGAACCTTCAAGGTTCTGGAGGGCTTGAAGCCAGCTCCATCCCAGCTGATCAGAAATTCTAATCAGTCACAGACTCATCCTAATCGGTGTCGCAAGCGACTCAGGCATCCGTAGCCTGCATCAACCAGAGCAGGTATACTGCACTGTCATGCTCTCTTTGAATCGGCTCAGGCACACGTCCATCATCAGAGAGCCACGCTCGGTCTTTTCCAAACCGGGGTTGGCCAATGGTTGTCGGTTGAGTGAGGGCGTGCACTGATGCCTGAGTGTGCCACTGATCAATCATCGATTGTAAAATCAGTTGTGGCCCTGCATGCAGGGCCAGGATCACCGGGGCAAGGGTGGTGCCCCTGTCAGTGACACGAGTGACTCCATCAATATGGCGTCTTGCCTCCCAGGAACCTTGGAAACCCTGCTGATGGAGCCTGGGCAGGAGATAGGTGACCAACTCAGCTACATCATGCTGTACATGGATGTGGCTCCAAGCTTGCAGCTTGGTAAGTAAGGGTAGATGGCTGAGCACCTGGGTAGAGCTGGCAGTTGGGGCGGTGGGCGCCTGAGCAAGAAAACTGAGTGCTGGGACCAATGCCTGTCGGAGAATGCCACAAAGTTGGGCCTGCAGCAGGGTCCACACCAGGGCAATCAAGGCGGAATTCAGGCAGCAGAGATTGGTGGGATTCCTGAGGGATGCCTTAAGAAGTTGCGCAAGTCTGGGCTTCGCACTCATTGGTAGCTCAAGATCTCGTTGACTAGGGAATCGTAGGCCGGTCTGTCCCTTCTCAGTCTGCAGCCGAGCACGTGCCACGCAGCACTCCCGATCCAACCCTGCAGGGTCGACCAAACTGGGGCTGCTTCGGGCCTGAGCGAGACCACCAGTTGAAACTGAATCCAATCCGCCTTGACAGCCGGCGAAAGATGTCGCAGGCTGTGGAATCGCAAGATCGTCTCCTCGGTGGAACCTCGTCTCATCTGCACCAGCTGTGACAGCAAGTCCTTGGAAGGGACTGCCCTCACAGTGGGATCGACTTCCAGGGTTGTTGGCCTGGATTCCATCGCAACGTCAGCCAGTTCTGCTCTGCATCCACCCAGCCAAGCGACTTGGCGTGGGCCATTGCTTCCTCCTTCTGGCTCGTCTCCGACAACCGTTCGTGCAGCGTGATCAGCAGCTGCTTGAAGAGCGCCAGTTTGAGGGAGTAGCTCAGCTTGGTCGGCTCCTCCTCCTTGGTGGTTCGCCACTTGGTCGCTGCATCGCACAAAACTGGTATCATCCCCGACTCCCCGTTCTTCATGAAGAGATGCATCACCATGTCCTGACGGAGGGAGGCAAGGGTCTGTTCCTGCCTCAGGACCAGTTGAGTGAGCTTGTAGACCTTGGATTCGAGCCACTCCGCGTGAGTCTCTGACTCCTTGTGCTCGGACATCGTGTCTTCTCTCTCCCAGGGTGCCTCCAGCCCGTGCCTTGAACCACTGCTGTATGCCCACATCGTGGCTGCCGGGTACGTCCCTCTTTCCATCTTGGGTCCCAGCTGTTGTCCTCCTTTGCCCTTTCCCTTGCCTTTTCCTTTTCCCTTGTTGTTCTTCCCCTGACCTTTGGGATCTGCATCCGTCTGCTGTCGTTTGGCTCCCGCCTGGTGGGAGGGGGAGGCTCCCGGTGCCCCGGAGGTGGGGGGCGGAGATTTCCGCAATGGACCCATGTGTCCGAAGAAGAGGGCCTGCTGTGCATCCAGGTCCATCTCGGAGGCGGTGTTGCTCATGGCGGTGGCACAGGCACTAAGGACAGGACATTGAAACTAGTGCCGATCAGGATTGAGGAGCAGGAGTCAGCAGGAGCAGTAGCAGTAGCAGTAGCAGTAGCAGCAGCAGTAGCAGCAGCAGTAGCAGTAGCAGCAGCAGCAGCAGTTGTGGCAGTTGTAGCAGTAGTAGCAGTAGTAGCAGTAGTAGGAGTAGTAGTGTAGTAGTAGTAGTAGTAGTAGTAGTAGTAGTAGTAGTGGTAGTGGTAGTAGTAGTAGTAGTAGTAGTTAGTAGCAGCAAACAAGCCACAGGAGCCTTTAGATATTAGGTCTCATCTCCCAAAAC